CTGCTCCAGGAGCAATGCAGCTGCCCCAAAGCCAGTCCCCTCATGCTCTTCCATTGTAACTGCAGGCCTGTTCCACCTCTGATCTCCTTCCATTGTGTTTCTAGGCGATGTCAAGAAGCGAGAAACAAGAAAGTCCATTTACCAGAAGGTCAGTGGGTTTTACTTATACTTCCATGAATGTCACAAAGCTGCTACTAAAGCAAGACCTTTGGCCCCTTCAAGGATCTCAAAGCTTTGTACCCACCTTAGTGAGACCCTAAGGCACTCAAGGGTCAGCGTTGACATTTTATGGGGGAGAGACTAAGGCATGGTGAAGCAGTAACACTGCAGCTGTGCTCCTTAAGTGAGCGTGCCTTTATTTTAAATCCCATCTGTCTTCCAGATTTCTTGAATGGAAATTGGCCAAGCAGGAGATCTCTTTTAATATGATCTTCACTCCTGGGGTTAATTCTCTTTGCCCTCACCCTGAATTAAAACAGATGCATCTCCATCAGTGAATCTGCACTGGAGTTAAAGCTGACGTGACATCAGAACTGGGTCCAGCAGCTCTGGTAGGTCAGCAAAGAGAAACTTGGTATTGAGGACAACGCAAAAAAGAGGCAGTTATGCTCTCCCACCCCAAAAACATCTTTTTAAAAAGCCTTTCATGAGCAGGAAAGAGCCATGCAAACATGAAATGTTTCTCAGAACAAGCAGGGATAAGCAACTATAACAGCAAGGGATTGTCCCTGAGACATTGCAAATACCCAAGGCTACCATTTGCAGAATTTCAGTGGGGTGGAAGCTGAGGCATGGGGACAGGAAAAAATGTGGTCTAGATCATAGTAGGAGGCAGAGCCAAGAAGAGAACCCAGGTCTTCTCATGCCTTGTCCTAGCTTTGCTCCATTGGACCGTACTGAGGCACTTTTTGTGGGCTACTTCCATACTTTGGAGGCAGCATGGCTCAGGGGCAGGGCACTGGACTGTGAGTTGTGAGGCTCTCTTTCTGACACAGGCCTGTTGTGTGACCGTTGGCAAGTCCCTTTTGCTCTGGTGCATCAGTTTCCCTATCTGCAGTATGGGATCATGATAGTGACCCATTTCTACTAATGCTTTTGTGATGTACAGAGCAGGATTACTGGAAAAGTGCTAAATATTACCAAGCCCCAAGATTAAGCCTTGTCTTGGTCTTTGCACCAGCCCGGAACTGAAACACCCAAAGCATCTCAGACTTGTCCTCATTGCAGCCTTGTCATAGACTCCCGAGCATGAAGCATTTAAGACAAGCACAAGGTTCATAGATTCATAGATGTTAGGGTCAGAAGGGACCTCAATAGAGCGAGTCCGACCCCCTGCATAGGCAGGAAAGAGCGCTGGGGCCAGGTTTGCATTGCTGGCTTATTTGGGTTCTATGTAATGTGCAGCCCTTTAAAAAACAATCATAAACTGAACTTGCAGTTTTCTAATTGGCCACATGTGGTCACACTTTATGCTTCAGTTGGCCAGAACTTGCTGCGAAGCAGTAGTTCTCAACCTTTTTGGACACAAGGCACGCCTAAGAAAAATGTCAGGTCTCAGTTTTCACTTGTTTTTTACTACAAAAAAATAAAGCAATATTGCTGTTCCGAGGAATTCAGAAAGCCCACAACTCCAGCCAAAAAATCTGGAAGACTGGTGAGATTTAAAATAAAGGCACACTCATTTACAGAGCAAAGCTGCAGTGTTACTGCTTTTCTGTGCCTCAGTTTCTCCCCCATAAAATGTCAGTGCTGACCCAAACTGTCAGGGGAGCTTATGGTCTCATTAAGGGCAGAATGTTTTTAACATTATAGTTGTTTGCACAGCTAGCAGTGCTAACCTTACGTAGCACCCTGCAGGACCCTTGAAAGGATCTCAAGGTACCTCAGGGTGCCACAGTGCCCTGGCTGAGTCTCGTTGCTGTAAAGTCAATACAGAGCAGCTGAAAAATAATTGGGGAAAGACCTTGGACCCTGGAAAATGCCACATATGTCTTGTCACTGGTTTGGACCAAGGGGCTCTTTTAGGGTTTGGGCTCCAACAGATTCAACAAATCTGTTTTGTGAGAGAACGTATAGCCATTCTTTGGCCTTCCAAAGGTAGCTGGATCTCGCTTCTGTGAATATAGGCTGGTACAAGTGATTAGGGCACTAGCCTGGGACTTAGGAGACCAGGTCCAGGCCTACGTTATACCAGTACTTTGTGCACGAGCTTGGGTACATCAGCTTCTCTGAGCATAATTCGGGGGGGAGGGGGACAGTTTATTCCTCTAAATGGCAGGTTTCTAGCCATGCAGGTGGCCTTCTGGGGATTTACTTGCAGGTAACAATTTTGTTTTCCCTGCAAGTATACATGTGGATTGGGAATGCACAAATAGGCTGTGCTCTTGTGGCTATGTACCCTATTGGATACTTACCTGTGTTTAAATAATGAAATGCAACCTGCTAGAAAACCAGGACTAGCAGATGTTAGACCTCAGGAGAAGTCCAATTTCAGCCCTTGCATCTGCCTGTGTAGGTCACTTGCCCAAGCAGCCAGAGACCCCCTCACCCAATGTAGGTAGTTGAACCTATCTCTGTGACTTGCCAGCACAGCGATCTAGCTGCCATGTCACAGTTTGGGC